TTGCATGATGCCTGCACTCTGGAAGAGGGCACCAGATCTCATTACAGATGGTTGTGAGCCACCATGTGGTTGCTGGGAATTGAACTCAGGACCTCTGGAAAAGCAGTCAGTGCCCTTAACCTCTGAGCCATCTCTCCAGCCCAGAACACAGCTTCTTGAAGGAGAAGAAAGTGACCTGCTTCTGTCCCAGAGAGAAGAGGTAGAAGTGAGACAAGAAGCTTAAAGGGCCATGGAAGCCAATCTCATTAGAAATGGGTGGAGCCAGACACTAGTATTGCACATCTTTAATCCCAGCACTTGGGAGGCAGAGGCAGGTGGATCTCTGATTTGAGGCCAGCCTGGTTTACAGAGTGAATTCCAGGACAGCCAGGGCTACACAGAGAATCCATCTCGAAAAACAAAACAACAACAAAAAAGGATCATGATACAATTGGTTTCAGAGAGAAGAAGAAAATGGCTGTTTTGTAGGTCAGCTGACTATGGTGGGGAATGAGAGCAGAGGCAAAGAGTTCCTGAACGAGGCAAGGACTGCCTGAACTAAAAGAGTAGATGCCAACAAATGGAGGAACCGGGAAGGGTTGCTAGGTAACTTGGAAAGCCCCAGGCACAGAACCTGCGCTCACTAAGTGCTGGCTTTCTGTACTGGAGTGGAAGAAGCTGGAAAGCCTGGGTTCTATTCTTTTTCCTTTCCTAGCCAGCTGTGGGTTCTTTAGTGGCCCGTTTTCACCCTTTGGTTCACATATGTAAAGACAGACGAGGTAACCTCTCAGGACTCTTCTGGCTTCTAAACCTTTTTGAATTAGACACCAACACATCTCACTCCAGCAGCTCCTAATTAAGTGATGGCCTCCCGCCACTGTTCAGTGCTGCCGCCCCAGCAGATGGCAGGGTCCCTGGGACCTTCACATCTCAATTCAGGATGGGGGCATGGGCCTTAGTTTAAGCACAGCACAGTTGGACACAGGATCTCCATGTGCTAGGATATCCTGAGAATTAGTTGAGCACACAAGGCAATTGATCAGGACCTGGGGAAATAAGGAAGCAATAAAGAGCTGGATCTCTCACTCTGGTACCTTCACAAACTTCTGATACAGCAAATTGGGCTTGGGGTGGTTACGCTGGGTGGTCTCCTTGGAAAGGCGCCTTATCTGCACTCCATCCTGTTGGAAAGCATGAGTGAGAAAGCTGAACCTCCCTGCCCTATCCCAGACATACACCGACTCATCAATCTACCTGATGAGAAGCTCATACCTTCCCTGAGTCCACTACCAAGCTGGCTGCAGTCTTGTTGAAGAGATCACTCCACCAGTGGTTTGTAAACTCCTTGGCAGGGTCGTGTCCTACCTTCAGGTAAATAATAAATGAAAGTCACAGCTGAGCACCGCCCACTGGCCCTCATGGGTGCCCTGTCCCATTCATGCTGATCACTTCCCAGGCTTACCCCATGGGTATCTTGCTTCAGTGTCACCTTGAGGGCCTGAGTGATGCCATTCTCTCTCCGGCCCAGGCCCTTGCCTGTAGAGGACAGGGAGTGATTTATTTTGTAGCCTGCCCTGAGCCCTCACCAAGTCTTCCTGGGCTAACTGCCATTTCTTTCAGTGATCACTGGGTAGACCATGTACCTTTCAGAAGTCTACCTCACTCTATTCTTTCTCGTACTGCTCCACAAGTCTGACCCAGAATGGTCCTTTTTGTTACATTTCCTCCTGACTGCCTCCTCCAGTCTGCCCAACTACTTGTCCCTCTTACCCCCATTGTCCCCCATTACCCAAGAATGAGGATTTTACCCATTCTTCCCTTTTCCAGATAGAGCAGAAAATTCATGCTTCTAAAGCTTTCTCTTTAGTTTCTCCGCTGGTTGAACTGACATAGGGCAGAGGAAAAGAGGGGATTGGGAGGATATGGAAGAGGCCCTAGAACACCTTGAGTCCATCCATATTTTAGCAGCTGCTTTTCAGCAAACTTCATCCCACGACTCTTGACCTCTGGGGTGACACTCATGGTGGTCGGAGAGACTCTGTCCTCAGGTTCTCACCAGGGAAGAAGATGTGGCATCATCCTTTGAATAAGGAAAGGAAGTCCTGGAGATGCACCTTAGACAAGAGAGTGCCTGTGTAATACACATAAAGCCCCAGGTTTCAACCCCCAGCATCGTGGAGCACACACGTGTAATCCTAGCATTTGGAACATGGAGGCAAGAGGATCAGAAGTTCCTATCATCCACAACTGTATAGAAAGGTTGAAGCCAGTCTGTGCTATATGAGATCCTAAGTGAGTGAAAAAGAAAAGGGAGGTAAGTGTGGGTCTATGGCTATCTTAGTAGGCAGAATGCTTGCCTAGCCTCATGAGGCCCTGGGTTCAATCCCCAGCACCGTTCACTGGCCTTGGCTCCTAAAGTATAGGAAGTTATGGCTAGAGAGAGAGCTGAGTGTAAAGGTGCTTCCTGCCAAACCCATGACCTGTGCCAAACCCATGATCCTAGAGACGTACTTAGTAGGAGAGAACTGACTTCCATGGGCTGTCTTCAGACCTTCATACTCATGCGCACGCGTGAGCACACACACACATTAAAATGTAAGCTATCATGAGTAGCTTGCTAGAGGTCACACAACTGACATGGAGAA